GCCCGCGCAGCGCCCGCGCAACTCTCAGACTTTTACTGTTCGAAGGCGCCGCTGTTATTAACGCGCTGGGTTACATAGGTGTAACTGACGCCCGCTTGAACCGAAACAAATCTCAGCTAACTCTCGTTTCCTGTGTCCCGGACCAGTGATAAATGGGTATTTTCGGGTATTTTCAGTAACAGCGGAGGATGCCCAGGTACGGCCGCTCCGCTTTCGAGGGGCGGGGGCTGGCCGCTGACGGGCACCTCCAGATATACATGCGAAGGGGAACGCGTTGCGGACGAGGCAACGACGGCGGGGTCCCCGGCGGCCGCTCCGCGAGGCCCCGCGCAACCTGCTCCCGGCGCCTGGAGGCGCGCAGCGGGCGCGCAGGGCTGGGATCGCACCTCCGTTTGGCCTCCTGTCAGCCCGCTTCTCGTCTCCGTCTCCCGACTCGGGCCAACTTCGGAACTTGGCTGAAATTTCAATTCCCGATCACCCCGCGCCCTGAGAAAGGCCGAGGGGGAGCCGAGCTCCCGGCGTGGGCGCACACATCCGCGCCCCGAGCGGGGCCATCCGACGGGTGCGGGCAGCCCGCTGTCCCGCTGCGCGCCCCGCGAGGCAGAAGCCGGGCACTGCGGAGCCCCTGGGCTCGGCCCAGGCCTCGAGCTGCGCGGGCGCGGCGCAGGACTCGCGGGGGACGCTACCTCTGTCCCTCCCCGGTCCTTTCGGGCAGCTCTGCCCGAGTCACTCTACGCCTACCCCGCTCCCTTCCCGCGGCCTTGCGCTGTCTTTGCGCGACCCTTGGCCGGGCTGCGCGGCGGGGGGAGCGGCACAGAGCCCGCTCGGCGGTGCGGAGCCGTTCTGCTGAAGGTACCGCTCGGCACTGCGCTGTTCCAGGAGCGCTTTCACCCCCCGCGCCCCCGATATTGTTAAAGGAAGAATTAGTTCCCGACAGAACAAGGCTGAAAGTTGCCCCGTATCCGCACGGCGGGCGCCTCACGGAGATGCTCCTCTGCGGGCACCGCCCGGCTGCGGCCCGCTCCCAACGCTGCTCCGCCGGGGCCGCCCCCGCGGTGCGGTGCGGTGCTGTGCGGAGCGTGGGGGGCTGCGGCCGGACGGCTCCTCCCGCGCCGCGAGAACAATACGAAGGGAGTGCGACTGAACAAACAAGGATCGATCAGATAATTTCAGATATTATAATTGGCTTTAATTAAACACACTTCGTTCTAATTAACTCTGAAATTTTAGCATGCTTTGGGACGTTGGTGTCTGATTTGATATTGTCAGTCCAGATGTCCTAATAAAATTCAATCCTCCACTCAAGACTTCAATATTCACTAAGAACAAAATGCAAATTAAATGTAAAACCTAAAGTATCGCCAAAGGTATAATCAAGAAAGGTGTCTC